GAAAGGATGTCATGGCTTCTTCCGCATGCATTTAACATTATACCGCTCCATTCTCCGCTGCCATTACCAGCAAAACAACAAAACAACCACCAACTCTGGGTACTCAACTCTTAATCGCACTAGATATAAAACAGACATGCAATGTGGGGAGGGAGCTACTTTAGAGGAAAAAAAAACACGTTTGGTCCATGTTTGGTTACAGTAATTCAGAGATTAAAGCAACATCTATCTCTGATTCACTGCCCTCTGCTGGAGGACAGATGTCAAAAGGTTAAGCATGAGTTAGTTAACTAAAATACTGATACAAGAGAGAACAATGCATAGTCTCCTAACAATATGTGACTCATGCGATGCACACACATACAGGACACAAACAATGCCTGGTGACAGCTGTGACTTGCTGCATTTTCCCTCCCATCCTCCACCCCTTGCCTCCCCTCTGCTGTGAGTCTTCACTCTGCACCCAGGCCACAGGGCGAGTATCAGGTGAGGTTTTAAATAGCGGGGCCTCTACGAGATGACCTCAGGGTCCCAGAGGTCTACCCTGTGGCCCCTAGCCTCTACACGCATGTCCCCCAAGAAAGCGCTCCGGGACCAGGGGCCTCCCCTCAGTCTGTAGCCTTGAGACTGCAATCCATAGCCCTATGCCCCCGTTCAGGTCATAAATCTAAGGACGATATACTATTATATTCAACTAAAAGCACTCGCACATATCTTTGTGTTCTTGATGAAAACAAAAGACATCCTCTGAATACCATAGGCCTCGTATTTTCCTTTGTTACTTACTGGTAAAGCTAACCTCAATTCAGCCCAGATTACAGTGCAGCTAGATCTCATCTGCTCAACCCACAGTTTCAACGTCAACCGTCGGCCGGAGCTTGAGCCACAAAAGACCGATTTCCAAATGTTCTCCTGCCTGTACCCTCTCTCACCCATCAACACAGCCCCTTAACCACAGCCACATATCCAGCTCCTCTCTCAGCACCCAAAGAGAGCGAAAGAGCGAGGGGCCATTCTACAGGAAGGCCAATGTTTACGCGATACTGTTTTAATTAGAGGCAGGCGGCGCTGCTATTTTCTTTACAATTTGGCCTATGTTTGCCTTAACCTAGAATGCCAAGGGATGGCTCCATTTTCCATTTGTGGCTAGGAGGAACTCTAAAGGGGTATTTTTCCTCTCTTCTATGCCCCTGCTTCTCGACTGTATAGTTATATAGTACAGCTAATCAACGAAAGATCATTTAGAATTCTCTGCAATTTGAAACTGAGGATGTATCTGAAATCGATGACAGGCCATTAGGCATGTCTTCTGACATTGGGGAATGCACATAGAGGGTGTCAAGTAGGGCTGCACGATTTTGGGGAAAAAAATCTACCGTAATTGCGATTTTTCTGACAAATACTGCGATTACGATTCGATTTGCAATATTTGTTTTTAAGCGACCCAACGGAAGTTTATTGTAAAATGCGGCCATATCTCCGGCTAGGAAGGTCGCATCAACGTGCTCCCGTCTCTAGCACCCCCGCAGCCCGAGCTACGAGTGAAAGAACTAAACTTACATGAAACGTCCGTTGGGTTGCTTTAAAGTCAAGCTTCAGTTTAAGATTCACCCTGTAATAGATGTAAAACATGTGATGGAGCATTACTAACCTGACTCAGATGGTTTGTTTCACCAAACCATCTAGGAAAGCTCCATTGGAAGCCATTTGGAAAGGGCAGGCACTTTCAAAAATACTTGACAGGTGATTGGATCAATCTGTCTATCACCTACTATCATGGGCCACCTCTGATTGGTTAACAATGACTGGTACATGTGGAGCACAGCACTTCTGATTGGTGTGGATGACTGACACACAAGAAGAACAAAAAAAAAAGGCTTTGCGATTTGATAATCGCATCATTTAAAATCGCGATTTCGATTTAAAATTCAGCCCTAGTGTCAAGCCACATTTTTGTGTGGGGAGAGCAAGAAAGGTAACCAGAATATTACAACTTCCTGTTTCAGCCAAAAATAAATGGTGGGTGGGCATCAAAGTGGAAACAATCACAGCAATAGTGTAGATGCAGGCTGCCTTAATTGCATGCCACTAAAATAATTTTGTGGTCCAGGTAGGAGAGAAAGTTTAAAAAATAAATATCATTCCCTTAATGTTTAGCGAAACACAAACCCCCATAGATCCTCATTGGTTTGACACAATCGCCCCTTTGTGCAGGCATGCGGCTCACTCCCAATTGCTCTCTGTCGCTTTGTCTAATAAACAGAACTTCCTGTGTCAGAGTGTTTATAAACGGTGCTGAGTGAGCACTGTTTGAGAAAAGACAATCTCTTCGAAAGCTGCAGCACGTGACAGCATGTAGAATAAACACACTAGCGGGCTAATGGTGGTCTGCTGTAGACCTCGACACTAGCAGAAAGCAGGTGACGACAGACACCACATGAGATCACAAACGTGAAATGCAGCACCAGTCAATTGAGAGATTTAATATGAGCCGAGTGTATTGTGTGAGTATGCGTGCGTCCACAGGCCACACAGCTTCCAGGCGGGGTCGTCCATGGGTCGCCTGCGGAGGGCAGTTCCAAATGAAACATAAACAACCGCTCTTTCCTCTCCTCCTCTCTCCTCTCAGACGATGGGCCAGTCCCCCAGCACGGCCCAGCACAGCGTTCCACGGCACAGGCAGAACTAATCTATCCCTCAGCTGTGCAGTCTAATCTAAACAAACAGATCTCTCCCTATCAACATCTGGAACCCCTCACGTACCGGGACCTAGGAAACCACCGCAGCCCAGTCTCTTTGTCAGTGCAGTGTGTATGAGCAGGTCTCTGTGTAACAATATGAGCCACTGTGAAACGTGTTGTAGATGTCTACTAGAGGTCACCAGACTCAGATCAACTGTCAAATTCAACATAAAGCTAGTATTTTTTACAAAATCAAAATGTTATGGTGTCACTCTAGTTATAGGTTAAGGCAGAAAATCTAGCTTTCAAACTACTTAATCATCAATTATGTGCCAGTGAATTTGATGATATGCCAATAGGGAACAGTGCCATTTATTTGAATGCCTGATTTACCTTTTAGTCCACAAGCAAGAATAATGGCAAATATCACAGCATACCGGGGCATGAACTGATGATATTTGTCTCACATACACACTAAAAGGGAACCCAGAGTAAAGCAAAAACAATCTCATAATTGGGAAATTACTCCATTCCAAACTTTATATTCTTCAAGTATGAGACATTTAATTCCCTTTAGACTTTAAATGTGGTTGTAAAAATGTTTTAGTTTGCTGCTTCATGAAGCACAGCAGCTGCAGTCAGATTAAATTCATGATAGTTACAATGTATTTCTTGGACAAAGGTTTTCCAAACTGTATTAAGATCCAAATGTCAAAAAACATCAATAAAGATTCAAACGGCATAGGTGTCTGCTGTAGGATCAGTATGCTTCAAACACTGTAATTTGCTTGCCAAAAAATGGCTGAATACACTAGTTACAGAAGAGCTCCCAAGAGGGGAATAGTGTGACATGAAAGAGTAAATAAAGAGAAATATAAATCACAAGTTGACATATCCCAAAAGGGATATCTTTACATTTATTTTGAGTGATGCCATTTCCAACAATTGTTCATGCAGTATAATTAAATTAAGTTCTATCAAAAATAGTCAGCAAGAACTTTTCTGTCAAACAATTTATCGACTTATCAATTTCGGCACTCAATAAAGGTTGGTAGCAACTTTCTATGCTCTGTTATAATGTGGACTTTTTATATGGTACCCCTCACTGGAGTTCACATGACCGTGGTCTGACATGTGAAAAAGGGTGTGAATAGAGTGTGTTCCTCTGGCTACAGTCAGGAGTCCTGTACTGAGGAGGCACCCCTCTGCCTTAACTGCTGTTTACTGCGCCTGCGCCACAGATTAGAAGAACACGCTGCCGGTCAGACCCCTGCAGAAGCACGCAATGAGGGAACAGCCAACCCGGGGAGGAGGTGGGGGGTTTGATCTGTGCAGGAATCTGTCTGCTTTAATGTTTGATCTCCAGAGCTATACATGTTTATATCAAGGTGGGTAGCTAAAATGGGTTGAAACCAGAGGCAACCACACAAACTAAAAACAACTATGCGTGAAAACTATTTTGTTTCTTCTTTCATGACCAGAATACCTATTCAATTTCTCAGCAGCAAAATCTGCTTCTCCATTCATGAGTCTTACAGCCAACTCTAGCCCTAAGTGCAGGAATGCGGATCAAAGGAAAGGAAAAAAGCACAGCCCCTTCCCCTTACCCCCCAAGCACCACCCATGCACAGTCCCTTTTTCCTTAAAATTGTTCAGTCTTCTTAAGTTGTTTCTGAAAAACAACAAGTGAGCTTCATATCCACTCCTCAAATATGAGTTCCTGTCCTCACTCCGCTTTTTCCCTGCAGCCGGACACAAATCTTTTTGGAAAGTTGAGAGCTGTCCAAAACGGGACCACACACAGTCTCTGAGCATTCAACTGCTGGGGGCAGGCAGACACACACTCACACACACTCACACACTCTCACAAAATGGCGGCTTTGACAAAAATGTCCTCTACCCCTAAAGCTGCTTATGAACTTAATTACATCCTTACTTCTGAGTGCGGTCACAGTCACCTCTTGCACATCTTGCATGTGCATCTAAAATGGCTTGAGAAGCTGCAAGTATATTAGGGAAATTCTACTATTTTCAAGTCTCACTTGGCCACTTGCCAGGGCCTAAAAAATAAACAATTCCCCTGGCTTGTTTAGTAGCACCCACTAACCCTAAACCATCACACGCTAGTCCAAACAATCAATATCAAATATTACAGCTTCAAAAGAATATAACAAAATATGAATCCCAGCATCTTACATTCTCCACACACACACACACACACACACACACACACACACACACACACACACACACACACACACACACACACACACACACACACACACACACACACACACACACCAAATCAGAGTTTCTTACCTTCAACCCAAAGTTTCTCCACATCCGTCTCCAAATTAGCTGCCCTTAAGCCCACAGCAAAAGCTCCAAAAATCATGAGGCCCACAACCAAAAACTTTCCGCAGTTCTTTTGTATGTAACAGCCCAGCCTGAATAAAAGTCTCTGGAACTTCGCTCTCAGCCATAGAGGTGCTTTCCTCCCAGTCGCCTTCCCCTAGAATGAGACAAGAGAAGTAAAGTTATTGTACATTCAAACACAAAACATACACTTACCTGTACAGGTATATCTGAAGGGTTTAATAGAAAAGGTTTGATGTTGTACTGAATTGAAAACCATGGGTGGTACCTGATGTGTTCAATCAAAGAGTCTTCAAATATTTAAACTATGGGCCACAATTTGACTCCAGAGACACCTCATTTCAGAAGTCTAGTTGTTATGATTCACTTTGAGACTGCAAGTGTCTCTATAATGATGGCTAGGGCGAAAATGGGAGTTGTGATCAAAACATTAAAACCCATTTACTGTCCCACTCATCTAACCTGTGATGATTGAAATATACACATCTGTTGAGGACCGCCTAGAAACAACTAAGGGCTCCCCAGAGTGAGAGCCACAGGTTCTGTCATATCAGTAACATGTATAAACTGTAACCTAAGCAGGAGACATGCAAAAGGAAGATATCTTCATCCCCTACAGGTCACCCACACATGCACAGCCTGGTCCATTTGTGACATTTTTCTGTTACACGGATGAGTTATGAGGATGCTAATACACACACACACTGACATTAGGTGTCACTGGTTTGTGTTGCTGTGCTCAGAAATAGGTTTAGAGCTGGACCTCCAGAGTTGATGAAGGTAAAAGGGACAAAGTGGTGAGGACACAATGATGCAGTAGGTGATGTTTAGATAATAAATCTTCTCTGTGTCTTGTATTCCAGAAAGATATATCCTTATGCAAACCCATATATTTCAGGGATTTAAAATCCTGATTTGGAAGCATGATAATCCCGTTAAAGTATGGTCCCTGTGAATAGAGCTAAAACACCTTAAAAGTGTAAAAAGGCTTTGCTTCCTACTCCACAGAAGTTACTCTATTTTTTGTAATTTGTCAGTTAAGTACTCTGCATTAATACCCACGCACACCTGCACATCATACTTTGATATTAAATACCGTGAAAGGGGGAATGTGGTTAAACCCACAAAACCCACCACACACAGCTCCACTCCCCGTGCAGCAGCCCGTGTGTTCCGGCCTGCATGGGGAGTGGAGGAGCCATCACAGGGGGACTCACAATATTTGTGAACGGAAGAGGGCAGCCACATGGATTCTTTCCCCCTTTACACGAGTCTCACAAGTGTAGAAACTGTCAAACTAACATTAAAGTTAGCCAACAACACTTTTTACGCCGCTCGTGCAGAGAAGCACCAAGCTGGATGTTGTGAAAAAGTCATAGTGGTGTCGACTGTGTGTGGTGTGAAAGCGGCATGTTTTCCTGCTCAGAGACCGTTATAGGTTGGGATGTTGTAGTAGGAGTGTTTGTATTTGCTCATACAACTTGCTTCACGTGCTTAAACAGATGCAAGTTGCAGAATGATATTTTAAATGTTGCACAGTTAAAAACGAACCACCTCTCCGCTCACTACAACCTTGCCTTACCCCTGTGTCCCCTAGCCGGTTACCTAGCAGCGACTGGACATAGTTCTGCCACTTTTTTCGGCGAATTCAATGAAACGAAGACCACAAAGGTCTCTCTCGGTTTAGATGAGGAATAAGCACCTGGGTTATTTGCTCCAAAGCAAAGCTCGCATCGCAGTAACTTGGCCGCTGCAAATACTCCAAATCCAGCGGTGTGTTGCGGGTATAGTCCCCCCTGTTCCTCCGCCTTATCCTGGGCCGATCGGGGTCTCTGTTTTCCTGCTCGGAGGGCGCATTAGCAGCCGAGGCCATGTTGCGGGGACTGCGAGACTGTTTCCCACTTTATAGTATTTCCCCGAGAGCGTGTAGCGATATCCCAAGGCAACAAAGTTTCCCTCTCGGAGATCTCACAACCGTGAAGTAGGACTTCATACTCCTGTTGGAGACGGCGAGTCAAAGTCTGCGCCTTCCATCCCAACATTTCGCGATCTGGAGGTCTCCACCGCTTTCACCGCATTCCCCGTGTCTCTTAAAAAAAGCAAGTTTCTCTCAAAAAGGGAGGTGCGCAAAGTGATTCCCATACAGAAGTCTTCGGGCGAGAAAGCTCGATAGTCGTTGCATTCTGGTGAGATCTATGTGGTCTTCCCCTGGGCCGCGCGTCACGGCCAACTCTGAGATTCAATAGAAGAGGAGAAAAAGACCTCTCTCCATTTGGAGGCAGAGGAGGAGGAGGGGTGTAAAGGGAAAAAAACCGAGATCCCGCCTCTGGGGCTGTCAGATTGTAGGACTTTCTTGCATCTGATTGGTTCCAGAAGAGCAAAAATTACTCAGCAAACACGACTATTATTAGCTGCTTAGCAACAGCTCACTAAAGTAGAGAGACCACCCAGGCAGGGAGACCTCATGTGTGCATCTCCAACTTCAGGGGAGGCTCACTGAGAGCCAAAGCCGCGGTTCGTACGTTGTTTTGGGTTTCCACAGCGCCTTGTCGTTAGAAAGACGCATTTCCCGTCGACCTGAAGTCTGAAGCAAGGTACACGGTCTGTGCGACGGAAGGCCCCGAGGAATGTCAGATCTTCAGTTTTTAACTTAGATTTTTTTTTCTACCATGGTGGTGGTAGTTGAGCCTCAAATTACAGCGGTTCAAGGGGAGGTCCCACAGTGTGTTGTCGTTACAATATCAGCACCACTTGTAGCATGTATATTTCTATGCTGTATTACAGCCAGGGGTTGCCTACAGCCAAAACTCTATGTTGGTTTTAATAAAGGTAAACGTAAACTTTAAATGGTGTATAGGCTACAGTTATGTTTGACCATTGGCTCACACTTTTGTCGTATAGGCGTTTTTACGCATAGGAATGTTTTTCTGTATTAACTTTTATTATCCACTTCACTCATACCGCCTATTCCCTACTATAAATTGCTTCAATATTACAAAGGTGCGTTTATGTAGTAAACCTCATAATTAACATAGGTCCCAGACGCAGATTTAATTTAGTTGCATAACGCTCTAACATCTGAAATGTATCTCTCAAGTCAATGACATTGTGGATTTATCGATATCTTAACCATGAATAGTTTATATCAGATTGTTATGTCTCATTTCGCACTATTTTCAGATAAGCATACTGCAGACTTCAATCAATTGTCCACTATGCCAGAAGATAAATAACTTTTCAAGAAATCGACATCAACATTTTGACATTAAAACAAAAATGAATGTCTGCTCCCCTAAATGTCACTTGTTTATAAACCAAATCCCAGATGGTTACAGAACCAATGGGAAAAAAATATCTAAAAGACAAAAAAAAGACATTTTTGAGAACTGTATCCAAGACTTAAACCTTAAAAGGGAAAAGCTAAATCACTTAATTTACTATAAGATTTGAGTGAATCTGAACAATACAACAGGCTTAACTAAACAAAGAGGAATTGTGTGGTAATTAGCCTGTGTAGCACTTTATGGACCTGAGATCAGTCTTTCAGACCAAACTTCACACCTGAGGTCAGCGGCTCGTCTGGCTGCCAGACCTGCACTCACCATCTTCAGTCCAGGTGGGGAGAGCTTGCAGAACAAATCCGTGATATCCGCCCCCCGTGGAGCCTGAAACGTGACCGGTATGATGAAGATAAAAATAAATGCTTTATTGTTGTGAGCAGTAAAAAGACTCCTTTGTAATCCGTCTTGGTCGCAGGCATCCTGTTCTGCGTAGGAAAAGGTTCACTCACAATTACTTGGTTGTTCCTTTTTTGGCCACGTGGGTGGTCCCGCGCGCTCCAACGGCAGGACTCTTTGACTGTCACGTGATTAGCCGAACACTGTAAACATTACCAACATGCTACCAACCCATGCACAGCAGCATCCCGTTTATATCAGTCAATAAGATACACTTCAAGCACAGAGAGGAAGAGACTTGTGAGTAACATGCTGTCTTGCACAGATGCGCGCGCACACACACACACACACGCACACACGCACGCACACACGCACACGTGTACACAAACAAGTGTACATTTAGACACACGCCATATAAAAATAGAAACCCATTTTCCATGAGTTTTAAGGCACACCATATCTATTTATATTCAAGGTTGGGGGGTTACCTTGAAAATGTAATCCGTTTCAAATTTCTGTAGAAATAAATAATGTAATGTTATTATCATTAACCTAATCTTAGTATTACAAAATCTAATTATGTAACCTGATTACTTAATGTTACTTTTGAATTAGGTCAATATCAAATGCAATGCAGAAAAATAAATATCAACACTTAAGTGTTTTATGTTGACAACAGAACAATCTAACCTTAGAAAAGAAGAAACCAAATGTAGTATAAAAAATCTGCCTTTCATTAGAGACTACTACAAGTATGGGCCTACAACCAGTAGTCGAGTTGAGGGGGGATGGGGGGGGGATGGCATCCCCCTTAGGTATTAAAATGGTCAAAACCATCCCCCTTATGAAACGGCCATCCCCCCTTCCCATCCCCTGTTATTTGATCAATTAATGTGGAAATATTGCCAATGTTTAATTTTCAACATTCTACATTTTATATGTGCACGTCACGTGCCCCTCGTCCACATTATTTTAGCCGCTAAAATACTGTTGACGAGGGGCTCGTGCACATATCACGATCACGAAATTGATGTCAAGTCAGTCAGCGTCAACGATAGCAGCGCAGCCTGTGCAAGCATCATGGCCAGTAAGCGACAAGGACAGCTTGACCTGAGGGACTACTTCGGCTTTAAGAGGACAAAAAGTACCACTGAAGGTAAGTCAAGAATACTTTTGATATGTCACCAAATGTGTAATCTCTGGACAGAGGCGATAACAACAGAGTTATAGTTTGGGAGCTTACGTTTTTTTTCTTGTTAACTAGCCTAACGCCAGGCAGCTAGTACTAGCTGCTATAGTAACCAACGTCAGGTTAGACCTTTCTTATATTCACAAAGTTAATGTCAGATTTGATTTCTTTTTCACATGGAATATCTCGCAGGGTTTCCCACAGCTCTTTACTGCTTAGGCGACCGCATAAGCAACACGGTGAAAGTAAAAAGACGCCAATCCGTCGGTTCAAAAAACGAAACTGTATAATCGGTACCTATTATGAAAAACAAGAGGGACTTAGACCATCTCAGTCCGTACGTCCTATAGAACGCGTAATAGAGGGACCAAAAAACCAGTCTTAGTGCTGTGATAGAGCGGGACAAGACGGAGGAGGAAGAGAAGAAAAAGATGGTGTTTTGTAATGTTTAGATACAATTTTGGGGTGAACATTCATGTAAAGGGGAGAAGCTTTTTCTTTCACAGATAAATCTTACTAGTTTGGCCAAGGAAGAGGTCGAGATCGCAGATACAAGACGAGGAGGAGAGAAGAAAAAAGAGGTGTTTTTGTTTTTAGATACAATTTTTGGGTAACCATTCCTAATCGAGTAAAGGGTTAGTAACGTAGAGTGAGAGGGGAAGCTTTTTTCTTTTCACAGATAAATCTTTATAGTTGGACAAGGGAAGAGTGGTCGAGATCAGGGAGGAGACGAGAGGAAGGACGAAGGAGGGTACTATAGGGAGATATACTTCTTTTGTTGCCGTTTACCCAAAACCAATCTTACTGTCTGTCATTCATCCGGATAGACAGGTTCAACCCAAAAAAAAGTATATTTGTATTCTCGCTATGTAGTTGGTTGCGGTCTTCGGCGTATGTGCTAAGGCCGTCCTACGGAGTTTAAATTTCGAAAAATTCATTATGTAAAACCCAGCGAGTGTCACTCAGAAAAAAATAAAAAAAAAAAAAAAAAAAAAAAAAAAAAAAAAAAAAGAAAAAAAAAATTTCACGGTAAAAAGGGTGTGAGAATAATATAATATCTCGAGTGATTTTACTTACCTTTCGAATAGTTGTTTACGAAAATTTAGTGATCACCTATGTACTAGTAAGCTTAACTATGTGTTTTAGTCGGATTCTAGAGGTCCTTGGGGAATTAAGTTTACCCAGAAAGCCTGTTGGTCAAAAGTATGACTTCTTAGGGGTTTCGAACCTGATAGATGGTAGAATTGCTTGAAGTCGGCGACAAAGTCTTGGGCAGTGCTGTGACAAGGAAGAGACACAAAGGAATTACGGGGACAGCAGAGACGACATGTGATGGAACGAGGACGAGGTAGGATTTAATGCTAATTAAAAACAGGGGCTGACTTGTACAGATC